ACTTCATTTTCCTATATCAATACATAAATCTGATTTATGTACTCTATCTTGCAATATTGAAAGCATATATTCGAGAGCATATCAATCAGTCTATTTCTCTGAAAGCAGTGCAAGAATATTGCAACATTCCACATCATTGTGATATGATGCGCATATCTCGTTGTAATATACCAGTTTTCTAACAGGATATTGGAAGTGACGATAGGCTGATATTTTGCGTAGTAGGATCATATAAATGACCAATTTTAAATCAGGTAACTCTGTGCATACTGCATTTGTTAGAAGATATATTTATAACTGATTTGGTCATTGTGAACATTGATCATTCTAAGGCAAAAACGACTTGGTTAATCTAGTGTAGTAGTTATAAAGTGTAAAATAACTTGTCAATTTTTATTTCTTGGAAATATCAACATGACATTAATTGTTCATCTTGGATATAATATAGTGAAATTAATTATAAGCTATAAGAATGATAACAGTAGGTAAATGCAGCATGAATGCGAGATGCATCGTTGTTTCCATTGTAATTGTCATTATTGAAAAATGTTTTAAGATAATCTTATGAAGAATACCCATGGTAACTACAAGTATTTCAACCAATATAGGCATTTCTTTACGGATCACATTCTTGTATCATGTGGATATTTCTATGAAGACAGTCCTTCTGTAAAAGTAAAAACCTGTTTCTATTTCTGCTCTTTTTCTGAAAGAGGCAACCTATAATTATAGTACTATGGTTGTGATTTGTAACAACATACAGATTTACACAGACCGCCATTTTGTCTAATGTACATGTTTATAATTAAGAAGTCATTGGAGCTCTTTTATACTTATAAGGATAGATATTTTTGTTCTTATGCCGTGGTCACATTTGCTCCAATCCATCGGTCGGCGCCCGGCCGATTGAGTATTTTGTTTACAATTCTATTTAATTTTGAACATAATACTCAATCGGCCGGGCGCCGTAGTAAAATTCGGGGCAAATGTGACCAAGGCATTATTATTACCCGTGGCTGTCTTGTCACCAAGTATTCTATAGACATCCATATACAGGTAGCCATTTCTCTTGTAAATATATTTCTATGTAATTTGTTTTGTATGTAATTTGTATTTTGTATTTATATGTAACCTTGCTTCATATAGAAATTTCTATACAGACAGTTATCAAGTATCCTATAGAAATTTCTATACAGGCAGACATATCCCCAATATAGATACATGTATCTCTACATACATTGTAAACCTGCCTCGTATAGAAATTTCTATATGACAGTTATCGAGTATGCTATAGAAATTTCTATACAGGCAGACATATCCCCAATATAGATATCTCTATATACATTGTTGACTTGCCTCGTATAGAAATTTCTATACGGACAGTTATCGGATAAGCTATAGAAATTTCTATACTGTCTGTATAGAAATTTCTATGCCGGTAGTTATCGGGTTTGCTGTAGAAATATTTATACAGTGCTTGCCTCGTATAGAAATTTCTATACGAACATGCACAGTTATCGGACATAATATATTTTCTTCACATGCATCCGTTTCTCTAGTATAGAAATTTCTATACGAATGGGCAGCTTGTTTCTTATAGAAATTTCTATAGGGACATTTTAAGTCTGATATACAAATGTCTGTACATTCAGCCATTTTTCTCGTATAGAAATTTCTATACTCGACAAATTAAATTTTTGATAGATTGTTTAGCTTATATTGGCAGCAAAAGCTTAAATATTAATACTGATGTACGAATATAAAGTAAATGTAGTTGTACAATTTACAAATTGTCTATTTGAAATAAAGCAAATCATTTCTAAAAGTACATTTCACAATGGTATTTTTTCATTTTTTGACTGAAATAAAAGGAACAGATGGTTTTTTCCTTTATTAAATAGTCAGGACTTAATTTAATAACCAGACACAGTCTGATCCTGACCTAATTATAACTTTTAAAGGCTAGATACAATGGCAACAGGCATGGCCTTGCGATAATCACTTTTGTCTTTACTGAATAACCGACCAACTGATTATCGGACTGATTAAACTTCAAAGGGCTAATTACAAATGACACTGCTGGAATACAATATCTTGTCTAAATAAAATGATCACACTGTCTGTGATAAGAAGTATAAAGGAATTTAAAATGTATCTAATATATTATACAATTAGACAGACTGGCTATTCTAATCCGTTATGAAAAGTCATTTGTTTTTTCTACTACAGGATGTTTCTACGGAAGTACATTTGTTTATTTTAGTCTTTAGAGGCATTGTCCCTTGACGTTTTTATGAAATAAATGAACTTTGTGATGGACTACAATTGTATATTTTTACATTACATTATTTTCATTTTAGGTCTCTCTTATTACATGTAGTTGCATTGCAGAAGTCTAATGTTATTCTCTCCGTGTGCCGAAAATACTTATACCTGTAGCCAAGGGGTAGGGGTGGTTCAAGGAGTGCGAGTGAACAGAATTTCGAATTGAATACATAATAAATATGTAACATATAAATATATAAGTACACAATGTCTAGCCAAGTCTTATTACATTTTCTGAACTTCAAATGCGCCTTTTGACGTGTGGTAACAAAATACAAAATAAATACTTATGTTTCTCTAGCTTGTTTTTATATTAATTTGGCAATAAAGCATGCATAAAGAGATAACAAATTGTGCACTGTGCACAACCCGAACCGCCTCCCCGATCGGGTCACGTTTACTGTGTATGTAATAATGTACAAAAGTAATGTAATAAAGACAATAATGCCCCCCCCCCCTATTGCAACATTTTGTCAATTAAAGTATTAGCTCAGAGCATCAACACACGTTTGATTGAAATAATTCAAAGCAAAGTTCCAGATGAAAAAAGATAATGAAGGTTCTGTTTGACATTCGAGAACAAGAATTTGTCCAGTTAAAAATAGATTTCTAATATTTGATCTTGATTAGATGTATTTATTGATCCTTGTTTTTAAAACTACAGATGGTTCACTCAATTCTGAAGTAAACAAAAAATAATCCTATACACGATTACTTGGTTCCCATGATACTGCCAATAACCTATAATACTCATTTATCAAAACAAATATTAATTAATCCGTCCGTCTGATTACATTTTGTTCCCTGACTCTAACTAAGCAAACCCCGATTACAGTTCTTAATTCTTCACTTGAAACGATTTAGCCAACATGATACAATATGAAATTTGATTAATTATACATGTATAAAGCCTATTGTTATCAAAACCCATAAATGCTCACAATATAAATATAGTTTATTGATGGCCAATAACAGATATCAGGGGCGTAGCCAGCTTTCAGTCAGGGGGAGTGTGATTGCCACAAATATTTCGGTTTTCAGTCGGGGGGGAGGATGTGATTGTGACATAAACAGGGGGGGGTGCGATTATGACATAAACAAGCCAAAAATGATTTTTATATTGAATTTTACAAAAACTGGATGCAAGTTCCTTCCAAAGTGAGCTAGAAGCTTCAAATAAAAAGCATTTAAAAGCTCTTTGAGTCCTCTTTCTCGGGTTTTGATTTTTATTGGTTTTCGCAACCCCCCCCCCCCCCTCCTCCTTGGCTACGCTTATGGACATTTAGAAAGTTTCAAATAAATAACTCAGCAACCAACCACGCAAGTAATCAACCAAGCAACCAAGCAAACGACCATCCAAGCAAGCAGGAAACTAAACAAGTAAAAAAGCAAACCATGCAACTTACAAATAAATCAAGCAAACAACCGACAAACCAACCAAGCAAGTAGCTAATTAAACTCTAATGTAAGAAACCAAGGAAGCAGCAAAGCAACAAAGAAAGAATGTTAGCGAGTAAACGGCCAATCAAGCAATCAATCGACTCGTGCTAATAAACAAGCAAACAATCTCCATCCAAGCAACTAATTAACATAATTCAATAAGATTAAAATTTAACCTTGCGTACATTTGCTCTACGGTAATAATGAGTAATATAGAACTATCATATTGATTGCATTTATTAAACACAGAAATGAAACACATTGGAGCATAGTTAAATAATTGGGGATAGGAGGGGGTGGTGTACACACAGGATACTGAATTCTTCCTCTTAAACTTAAATTTCAGTGCTTGAATGAAGGCTTCCCTTTAACAGATTTAGGGAGTTTCACTACTAGTTTCACCGAGATTGAGTTTTTCAATTGCCTTTGTTATAACATCTTATTTCAATACGCTGGATATTATGTAAAAGTATTGATGTGTATTTCTTATTCCCAACAATCGAATTTCATCGCAACGTTATTGCTTCAATAAATGCAACACATTTACCAGATTTTAGATTGGACTTTCTACATGATGATAAAATATTTTCTTGGTGATATTCTTTAATCACTACTAATTAGTATAAACTATTGATTCAATTGCAGATATCTGCTGCATGATAATTGCTAATAAAAAATCTCGAATCCTGGTAATTGAAGTTGGACAGCTTAATAAAGTCTAACATTAAATGAAATTTTAAAAATGTGTTTCTTTTATTTTTTGTTTGGTTGATAATGAATTTAAAAATGATGTTTGAATAAAAAATTCAATTTCGCAAAAAATCATATTCTTTAGCTAGACAAAGGCTATAGTTTGTTTATTCAACGGATAATAATTGGAAGCGCTAGATGCATAAATGGCAGACCGTTCTTAATTACTAATGAAAACAAAGCGATAACCAGTTGGGTGAATAATCACTTGACATAATAATCAGTTGGAATTTTTGCCATTGGCTACACATTAATAAGAATTGATTATCGTAATAACCAGTGAAAACACTGGTTATTCTTGATTAATAAGTCTCGATAATCAGCGATAACCAGCAATAATAGTCTCGATAATAGGTTTTAACCAGATAATAATCATTTATTCACTGATTATTTGTGATTAAAATTGTTTATATTTGGTCACTTCGCCCAGTGATACAAATACATGGGACACCAGATTCAATTTTTGAATGTCAAGTTATTAAAAGTTATTTAGTAGGAATATTCTCACCGAAGTGGCATTCTATTTTAGCTGTATTATGTAGAACCATTCTTCCTCCCTCAAAGATCTTCCATATGATAGATATCTTAGTAGGATCAACCGTATCATCACCCTCGGCTACTGCGTAAGCACTTTCACTGTTAATAGTGTCACCAATCAACCAGTCTCCATTGATATGATACAAGTAAAGATCCTCATCGGATGTAACTTTCCTGTACACTGGGAATCCACTTTGATGATGGTCCAGTTCATACACACCTTGCAAATTATTCTCGTCGGCGCCATTCACATTGGTAAAATGAATGTATTCACAAGATTCTAAAAAGTTAGGGTAAAAGTGTGAAGCTTAATTTTACAGTAGTTTCTGTTAGACCAGGTAGAAGTGAAATGGAAACGTTGTAAATGAGTGTAGGTCATCTACATACTCGGATTGTGAATGTGATACACAGTGTGTTTACCTTCACTTGCTTCAACGACGAGTTGATCCTCTAATACCTCTTCGGGAGGAACCCAACTTATCCACGTTCCCTTCGCCTTGTCAGGGTAATCAGATGTGCTCTCAATAAAAATGTCAGCGTAATCTGCACCTGCCTCGGCACCCAGTCCCCAACCTTGGAAATCTTTCCCCAAATCCACAAAGAACAAATATGCTAAGTCGTCCAGTATATGTTTGAAGACTGCCATACCATTCACTTGCCGAGCCTCTATTTTGTACAAACCTTCATAATGTTTGTACTCTGTAGTCATAATCCCAGACACTTTCACCTGCTTAGTTGCTTCGCCATTTACTCCTGTTGGGGTAAAAAGCTAATGAGAAATTTCAGTTTTATTCAAAACATTTTTGTGACAAGTGGAATGCGAAAATATTTAACTATTTGATATATTCTTATGGTCATATCCTTCTCATTTAGAGGTAATAAAGGCTATTAGAGGTGGGCACACTAACATTTAAGGACAACGTGAAAATATAGGTGAACTCCATCCAAAATACTTGAGCGTTAACATAATTTTGGATGATCCTTCCAATGGTATATCACAGCAGGTACCATCTCTCAAGGTTTTAGCTGTAGCAGGGGGATTACTTGACACCCTGTATATTCCTAACTGATAAAATAATGATGAAATATTATTTATATAGAGTATAACCCTAACCCTCGTATTGTACATTAAATATCTTACTGTCCCTGGTGAAATATTCCATTTGGAAACCAGCGTAAGTCATGTAGGAATCTGTGTGAAAGGACCTGAATAGAATCATCTGTTTGTTACCCCTAGATACAAACTCCATTGTGGTGTTTACCACAAATCCACAGAACCTAAAAAATGAATTTGCAAAGATGCCATCATTAGTACTAGTTATACCATAATGTTATCCCTTCCCGGTAAATAACACATATGTAATATATGTTCGCAAATTTGTCTCCGTCTAGTAGTACATTTTAATTTTCCTTTTCCAAACATTGATATTTCTCCTGTTAACATCTGTGCCAATATATACATGTAAATAATCATTGTGAATCAAACACCATTTTGGTGACTAATCATACAAACCTTGGGCCTGTCTCTGTCAATGACTGGTATCGGACCTCAACCCAGTCATCTTCACAATAGTAATCCCCAGTTCCCGATCGTGTTGAAGTTGTAGGAAAGGTCTGCTCGAATGCTACGACAAACCTGTCACCTGCAAATTTTGTGATGACATTTTTTCCCTCTGGTGCCTAAATAAATAGTTTATTGTTGTATTCACTCAATTTTCTCATTTTCTAATGTTTATAGCTTAGCTTAGCTTTATAGCCTAGTACATGATGTAAGGATTGACATCTTATAATATAAGAATGATGTACACATTGCATATCATAACATGTATGAGCTAGTACATGATGTAAGGATTGACATCTTATAATATAAGAATGATGTACACATTGTATATCAAAACATGTAAGAGCCTAGTACATGATGTAAGGATTGACATCTTATAATATAAGAATGATGTACACATTGCATATCATAACATGTATGAGCTAGTACATGATGTAAGGATTGACATCGTATAATATAAGAATGATGTACACATTGTATATCATAACATGTATGAGCTAGTACATGATGTAAGGATTGACATCTTATAATATAAGAATGTTGTATATATTGTATATCATAACATCTATGAGCTAGTACATGATGTAAGGATTGACATCTTATAATATAAGAATGATGTACATATTGTATATCATAACATGTATGAGCTAGTACATGATGTAAGGATTGACATCTTATAATATAAGAATGGTGTACATATTTTATAGCATAACATGTATGAGCAAGTACATGATGTAAGGATTGACATTTAATAATATAAGAATGATGTACACATTGTATATCATAACATGTATTAGCCTAGTACATGATGTAAGGATTGACATATTATAATATAAGAATGGTGTACATATTGTATAGCATATCATGTATGAGCCTAGTATATGATATAAGGATTGACATCTTATAATATAAGAATGGTGTACATATTGTATAGCATATCATGTATGAGCCTAGTACATGAGGTAAGGATTGACATAGTATAGTATGAGAATGATGAATATATTTTACATCTTACCTGTATGAGCCAAGTACATAATGCTGCTTTTGGATACCCCGGTATTGGAAAACCTGGTGAGTGGAACCTTTGTGGATCACTAGTTGCTGACAATGTATTTTCTCCACAAACTAAAATTAAATCAACTTGTACATGATTAATACGTACAAGGGATTATGTATAACATATATTTATTCATTTATTTTTTAAGATTCATTCTGTTAGGAATCGTTAAGTGACACACATATATAGAATCACACCTTCTTTTGATTTGACCTGATCGCAAAAGGTCCCTTCCCAACCATCAGGACATTTACAACGTGTACATGAATTCGGGTCTCTGTATCCGTCATTTTGACAGTCATTCCAAGCAAGAGAATTGTACCCTGGGCAGGCATCTATCATGAGAAAAAAACAAAGAAAGCATTAAGAAATAGAACACTTAATTATCGTTTCAACACAACATATTGCATCATATATTCACTGTAATCTGTAAAGTAAATGAGTTTGAATGAGCTAATACAGTTTGATATATGAAAATGGTTTACGTTTAACCTACTGATTTCAGCAGCTTAACCCCTTATACTTCGTAATCTGGAGAACTAATTGTCTACCTAAACAGTATTCATAGTTGGCCAGTTTGACATCAAGAAAAGATAAGTGTGTCCGCTGTCCCATGGCATCCATCATCAATGGGTCCAATGACTCTAGAGTGTTGTGGTTCTTGAACTTACTGAAGAACTGAAAAGAATATTAAGATAGACACGGATATTTTATGTGTGTTTTGGTTCTAACGTGTACGTTCTGACGAATTTAGAGTAAGTGTAGTTATATGGAGTTGATATATATTATTTTCATAATTTTCACAAGGAAGGAGTAAATTACTATAACGAGTACTAAACATAAAACGCTCTCCTCTTTGTGACACAAAAACATAACCCTCTAATTTTTTTTTAATAACTTGCTCAATGTGAGAAATGCAAGCGTGGTACTGGTTTGCTAAGTATTAACGGACAACAATGTGGAATGTTCAATTACTCCTGTCATTTATAAATCGCCTTACTATCATAATGGGCGCGTATGTAAGCATCAATCATTCTCGATTTCCATGTAAAATATAGCAGTTTATTAAATGTTTGATAATTGTAATGACAACTTAATTTCCAATTATGTTCATCTGATTTTCATTATTTTTGTAGCTTATAGTATTGATCAAAGGTTAACGTCACATCTGCATAAATTTTCCCGGTGTGAAGGGAATTACGGTCCCTCAGGGATTATTGTCCCCTTTCGGAACGGCCCAAGGATACCAATAATGTATTAATTAAGGCATTCCTAGTATCCAATATATTGTAAAAATGCAAATTGATAAGACTAAGTCCGCATGCAAACAAACCAGTCATAACTGATAAAATAGAATGTATCTTTGACTATCTTACTTGTTTACCATAGTGCATGATGGAGGCAATATCATAAGGTATTCCACTGCTTCTCGACTCATCCATCGCCCACTTGTTGTAATTGCTAATCAAATCATCCATTATATTATCGATTACAACCTTAACATAAGAGTCCCTGTCGGGTCGGGTGTGCTCGTGCCAAAATCCGAGTATGTGTCCTATTTCATGTGCAATTGTACCAAGCTTAAATGTGGAAGACAGATGTAAATGATACAACAAATATATAAATGGAAATTACTTGAGTAAAACCCAAGTATGTGTCCTATTTCATGTGCAATTGTACCAAGCTTAAATGTGGAAGACAGATGTAAATGATACAACAAATATATAAATGGAAATTACTTGAGTAAAACCCAAGTATGTGTCCTATTTCATGTGCAATTGTGCCAAGCTTAAATGTGGAAGACAGATGTAAATGATACAACAAATGCATAAATGGAAATTACTTGAGTAAAACCCAAGTATGTGTCCTATTTCATGTGCAATTGTACCAAGCTTAAATGTGGAAGACAGATGTAAATGATACAACAAATATATAAATGGGAATTACTTGAGTAAAACCGAAGTATGTGTCCTATTGTAAGTGCAATTGTACAAAGCTTAAATGTGGAAGACAGATGTAAATGATACAAAAAATGCATAAATGGAAATAACTTGAGTAAAACCCAAGCATGTGTCCTATTTCATGTGCAATTGTACCAAGCTTATATTATGTATATCGTATTCACCTTTAGGATGATATGACGATTATTTCTCGGATGTTATCAATATTTCCCTCTGTCACTGCATTCCCTCAGGATATATCACCCTTGTGATATCCCCGATATCAAATCCATCCCGGTGAATAACTTCTTTTTATTATACTATATTATACTATATTGTATTATATTGTATTACATTACGTATGGTTGATATGATTATGATCTTGTATGCTATTTATTATATTTTATTACATATTTATTGTATTTACTATAATTATCAAGCATTAATTATCATACGATATGGTTTATATAATGGTATTTATAGGTTTATATATGATGTGACGTGACGTGATATGATATGATATGGTTAATGTTATACATTGTGTTTTATTATTACTTGCTAGCTTACTTTGAGGCAGTTACGATGCACGGATATCTCACTTGGGGAAAAGGGATCTCGTCCGACGTAAGCTGAGCAACTGGAAATAAAACCAAGATAATAAGTAACCATACAGATGACAGACCACAATAATGTCCTGGGTGGTATCAATAAAATTGTTATAATTTACAATTTTAATAAATATAACTAAGGAGTAATATGTTTTGATGATAAAATGTTCTTTATAGCAAAAATATTAATATAAAAAAAGGTTTTGGCAAATCAAAGGAAAATTCACCTGTTTGTACTGAGAAAATTCTCAGTAAATGTTGACACTAATGTTCAGCTATTTCCTTAGTTAGATGTACTTAGTAAGCTTAGTTTAACTGGAACCGGATCTATTTTAATAAATAATAACTATATCGACTTCAAAGATGCATATTCTATAGATCAATTTAGTGATTATTTGAATACAGCTTTTTATTAATGCCATCAACTACTCAAGATAATATATTCTAGTCTATATTTATTCATGAATTGTTCGTGAAGAACTTCCAATCATGTTTCTGTATAGTAATGGTTCTTGAATTATGAGGGATGCGAGATTGTATGACGACCTTGTTTCCTTATCTACATTGATACATTTGCATGGGATCATACCGCCGATGCGATAAACAATTAAAAAGCCTCTACTATTTGTTATATTAGAATAATGCATAACATTACAAAATCAAAACATTCCTGTTGTGGTAACCATGCTAAAGTGAACAATTATGCCCATTGACAAGGATGTCAATGGGCTTCACTATATTGACTATGTTATGAAATAAAGTTATTTTCAATTAGCCATCTTTGACATATTCAAACTTGAATTGTAATACAAATGTGTTTTACATTATGTTTTGGTGGTCTAAACAAAAAAATGTTATTAAGCCTAAGTACTCACCCCGTGCTTGGCTGAAACTCAACATAAGGCACAAATGGATAATTGTTTGGCTTTTTTGTCTGCTCTGTAAACCTTATACATGTGTTTTGCTCCCAATGACTTATTCCTAGCTTGATTCTGTCTTTATCAGTATCATCTAAAATATAATCATAGAAAATTAGTGAGCAATAATCCAATGAAGGCTGTTCTTTTGGCTTGACTACTATTTCAGGAGGACTCTTGGTATTGGGAATGGTTTCATTTGCTTGAACATAACTGTTTGTAGCATTGTGTATGTAAATCTTAAATCAATGAGGAACTTTATTTTTCAAGTTATGTGGATGGGAGAATATACTTATCCACTGGCCATGACTTCAAAGATTCTTTTCGAGTTACAAAAACGTTACATAGCCAGTGAAGTGAAGTAATAAGCAATAACAGAAATCCGTATTCATATACCATCACAACAGCAAATTATAGTTACACGAGAATATGCTCGTAATACATACCAAAATGGTTTCTTTCTTTGCTAATGAAATATGGGATGGGAAGTGTCCACTTTTCCGTCGTTCTCATCTTTCTCTTCGTTCTAGTTTTAACAATTTTCTTTTTATTTAATTTTGCATTTAATTGTCTCTCAATCTTTGATATAGATCGCCTCACTTTTGTTTCCCTACTCTCTCTTTCACTTACATCTCTCCTATGATCTCTTTTATGTTTAAGTTTTGTATTAACCCTATGGTTCTTTTTTCTATTGCGAAAATCAATTTTCTGTTTTTTAACTTTTTTTCTACTGTTCTTTGCCTGTTTTAGAAGTTTGCGTGATTGCTTCACTGACAGGATAACATCTCCTTGGAAGAGTCCTTTAGTTTCCACATCAAAAAGAACCTTGAAATAAGAAATGAAGTTATGAGATTTTAAATCAAAAAGAACCTTGAAATAAGAAATACAGTTAGGAGCTTCCGCATCAAAGGGAACCTTTAAATACAAAATGAAGTTATGAGTTTTTACATCAAACAACATATCAAACAGAACCTTGAAATGATAAATAAAGAATCTCGAAATAAGTAATAAAGTTTCCAAAAGAAAATAATGAATTTAGTAACCAATGAAGCCAGGGACATTGGTTAGATATATGATATTATACTTTTCAACAAAATTGAATATTTTCTTCAAAAATTAGCAATACGTTAATGTTGCTTCTACCCTGTAACAAAGAATATAGGGCTTGCTAAAGTAACGACCCAAAGTCAATTCTAAACATTTACAATTTTCTTTTGAAATCATTTCAATAGCATTGGTTTGTCATGTTGTTAATTTGCTTACATGATTTAATCAATAATCGTATTTTGGTAAGTAGACCAAACAAAATATACAAAAAGCAAGCCCAATGTCCTGTTTAAGAACCCATAACCTTCATGAATCTACTTGTTGAGACTCGATCAACTTGAGTTTTTCTGAGAAAATGAGGATTTCAGCAAGGGTGCTTAGACTTAACATGGGGATATACACCATTGACTTATGACTTAGCATCGGGACACCATCATGTACGTCACCATGGGGATAGACACAAAATACTCATTTTGATCAAATATGAACAAGTACATTCATGTTGGTGGTATTGCTAGAATCCATTTTCAATAGTTAGAATATGTATTCTTAATTAGGACATTTAAGCTTAACTGTGGTTTGGAATCATTCTCACTGTCGAGTGTGTTTTATTGTACCTCGTGATTTGTAAATCCACTTTCTAGTTGAGAGTAGAATTCCACCAATGCCATGTTTCTCCACACTACTACCATGTCTTTCAGTTTTCTTTGTGATGTCACTTGCCTCATTATCGCCACTAGGTGTTTCTGAAAAATTAGCAGATTGATAAGGTTGCTATGGTTTTGGTATAGTGTTTGTATGAATGTGCAAGAAAAGGTGAAAATACTGATGTCAAAGTGTTATCCTAACAATTGATTCAAGTTCAGAGAAAACTGAATTATACAAATGTGATTACACATTAAATATTACAACAAATGTTGTAAATGTTATAGATATGTGAATATATGCACATATTAAGTAATTATAAAATGAGATCATATACATGAAATGGATTATTACATAAATGTGATTATATGCACCATATGAAATATTATAAAACTGTAATACCAATATGATATAAATAATAAGATTATAATAATAGGATCACATGCAGAAATCAATCATTGCACAAATATAAATATAAATTATTATAAAAATGTGATTATACATACTGTATATGATTTAATGATTACATACACAAATGCGGTGACATTCTTGGTTAGAGAAATGAGATAACATATCGAAAAAATGATCATGAAAAGAGATTTTATCTTTTTTCCTTTGCATATGAATCTCATTTCAGTGTTTAAAATATATGTATAAGTGTTAAAATATATGTACTGTATATATAATTTCATATTTCGTTTGCGAACGGATGTTGACTCTTTGAATTGCCTATGGACTTCGAGACTGGATTTTATCTATCCCACATCATTTGAGACTGAATACTCTATCTTTTATGAGTACTAGTATCTACAACTATTTTTGATGTTATGAGTATTGGCTATCAATTTTTCAATTTTTCTTCAACATGTATTGTAATGACTTCAGTATGAATGAAATGTCCCTTGGTGTTCTGCTCCTGGATTGTGATATTGGTTCTCGATTGGAAGGGGAGGGGAATGTTAGACATTGTTTCTTTTCACGTTAGATCATGGTTTTGGGATATATAGGGTCTACTTTTCTTATGACAGATTTACACTTACAGTTCGCTTTTCTTGTTGGGTTTCCTTAACGTTTTTAGTCACCCTTCCCTTTTGGCATTTGTGCTTATATATTCATGATGTTCCAATAACTAGGCCTTTAAATCATATTCATGATTAACATACTCTTACTATTCGGCCTTAAATAGAATGGAAAGGGGTCATTCATAATGTTATAGATCAATACCGTATACTATATAACTGGTAATTCTGAATTAAGAAACTTAAATGTCGGAAATATTTCATAATGCTATTCGATGGGAAGGTTCTTGTCATTGGGAAAAATTGGAAAAATTAGGAATATGATAACATCTGACCATTCGGCAAATCAACCAGTTGGATTAATACAGTAACTAGGCCACGCGAGCCATTTTAAATAATTTCATGACAGTCGGTTATTCAATTTATTAGGTATTTATTAAAATTGTCCTTTCAAAGAGAGGTCATACATTTACTTGAAACAATTTCATTTTACATTCACGCCGTGGCCCTATGGAAGAGAAAGTTACTTTGATAAGAGATGTAGATCAACCATGATTTAATATAAGTATCCATTACACGTTATCCTTTGATCTACTTTCGATAATGTCCTTTGTTAATTATCTTTAGTACATTCTTAAATAAAAATAAACGTTTAATTTGTATCACTGTTACAAAGCTGGCGAACTTCAATAACACCAGTTAAGCTCATCTTCAATGGCGAGCAATGCTACTGTATCATCCATCTAGGTATCGACGTTTTCATTTGTTTATTTATGTATCTGTTGCCCTCATTGTTGGCTTTACCAACTATTGCAACTCATATAGACAACTAACCATAGCTGTTAATAATAATATATATTTCATTAACCTTGTATTCAAAGATTGCCCTTTCCAATATTTTAGTTTTGGTTATTTCCTCCCAGAGTATACATTTATGCAGAAGTAAGTAAAAACAACCAAAAGGATGTCATTGTTGATAAAGAAAACTGTAGTTAAGACCCAGTTATTGAACAATCCTCTTGGGTATTTTTTCAATTTCTTTAATGTATCATAAAAAAGTCATTGCACTACTTTCAAGTATTGTTTATTTATGCAATTAATACATACTAATTACAGTATCAAGTTGTAAAGCAATAAAGACCTTGAAGTAAATGTCATATCAATGCCGTGTATTAATCTTGAAAATTAGGAAGATAGGACATTTTAATGAATGGGTTAGCACTTTAAATCTCCATGCAATATTCCACAAGTATACATGAAATGTATTCGTCTATTTAAAAGTTACGAAAATGCATTGAATATACTAATCAAAGAGTGATCTTTCATTCCAAGGGTGTACAGTTCATTTTAATTGCAGCTGAATTATCGACGAGGTTAATGGAAATATCAATCATTGAAACATTTCCATTCAGTTTCAGTTTCACTCCATAACTTAGTAATGTACTCCCATGCCCCTTGATTACTCCCTCATTGTCCTACCTCCCCCCCCCCCCCATCCCCTAACATTCCTATCCTTCCAATACCTCCAAAGGTAATGTAATGTCAAGGTAAACATATTAAAAATACACATAATTGATAAAATGTTGATTTTACATACAGAAGACAACCTGGGCCTCTTGTTACAATGAAGTTTTTTGAGATGTGAGTAAAATTATGAACCAAAATATTGAAAAATAGATTAAAGAAATATACGAATTCTTAGAATTATAATTATATTATTTGTTATGGCGGTAATGCATGATATGGATCATTTGCATCTAATGTTAAGACTGGCCCAATCTGAACATTCTAGATCTCCTGATATGGCCCATCCCGTATATTCTAGATCTCCTGATATGGCCCACCTCGTATACTCTAGATCTCCTGATATGGCCCACCTCGTATATTCTAGATCTCCTGGTATGGCCCACCTCGTATATTCTAGATCTCCTGATATGGCCCATCCCGTATATTCTAGATCTTCTGATATGGCCCACCTCGTATATTCTAGATCTCCTGGTATGGCCCACCCCGTATACTCTAGATCTCCTGATATGGCCCATCCCGTATATTCTAGATCTCCTGATATGGCCCACCTCGTATATTCTAGATCTCCTGGTATGGCCCACCCCGAATATTCTAGATCTCCTGATATGGCCCATCCTGTATATTCTAGATCTCCTGATATGGCCCACCCCGTATACTCTAGATCTCCTTATTTGGCCCATCCCGTATATTCTAGATCTCCTGATATGGCCTACCTCGTATATTCTAGATCTCCTGGTATGACAAATTAAATATGAAACTAGCTCTGTAGTATAACTCATAGACGTTTCTCCAGTTAGAAATGTCTTTCAAAGTGGCTATGGTCGCCATTACGAGTGGGCGTGGTAGGCTAGTGAGAACTGAGAATCTTGTGAAAACAGTCTCTGATAAAATTCACTTTTATATATATATTACTTGTGAGCGCAACAAGTTATTGTGCATGTTCGTAAAATCATTGACTTTTATAGTCTTTTGAACTCACGTTTGACACCATAATTCATCATACGATGATAAGATCGCCTCGATTGGATAAATGTATGAAAAGCAATAAAACAGAAACTATTCATTTTTTAATGGGATGTCGGAAATTCAAGGTTAAATGTCGTTAAATGTCGTTTACTGAAATATTCAAAAGGTGGTTCGTATTATAAAATATTGATTCATTTATGAGATGTTAAGTAATAAAATGAAAACAAATGCATTTTTTATCATTTGTATCTCGGTCTAATCTAACATTTTTCCGACTTAATGCAGATAACTTTTGGTAAAAGTAAACTCCAGCCAATAAAGTGTACGGAGGCTCTGGCGAATATTAAGTACGAAAGGGGGCGGTCAAAAGATGGGAAAGCACACCAGTAAAGAAACGCACTCTACAATGGCAATAAGAGCTTCCTGCAGATCTGACCTAATCTAACCCTAGTATCATCATATGGAAATAGATCGAATGATTTTGACATATTAACTAAATACTTCAAAGGTGTAGCATCATTACTGATTTTGATGCATATTGTTTTAATAATAATGTTGATGATATTCCTGGGCTATATTGGTCCTGTCAGATCTATTGTTTTAGATTAATCAACCGAAGTTTGCACTCTAAAACAAATGAGCCACGTTGGTCAGTTGAAATGGTTGACGACTCCCATCAAATATGGAAATCAGACAATCTAATTTATCATTGTATTTAATTATTAGAGAGCCTTGTTTTAAAATATGAAATTCGTTTGGAACTAATCAATCTTGTCAGTATTTCCTTGATTTTCGTTTTTTATCGTTTTTGTTTACCATTTTTAACATGCAACTAATGTTGTCGGAACTGCCAACCTAAATAAAAATGGAACATTTGCAGTAGATTTTGATTAAAATTGCGGTACTTTTGCGGTAGATTTTTCTAAAACCCGGGAAAATATAACTAGCTTTCGCGGTAGATTTTGAAAAATCAGGCGATTCTGTGGTAGATCCTTGGAAATACGGTAGTTGTTGCGGTAAATTTTTGAAAAAATGTATCTTTACCCGTAGATTTCTCAGAAAATGGTAGCCTTTCTGGTAAATTTTCCAAAATACGGTAGTTTTGACTGTAGATTTATCGGTTGGTATCTGTTTATGCATACTTGTGTTTTGTTAATTTAACAATGGGCATTGGGTTGCATGGAGTTTGGTTTTGTTGGCTGTGTTGTGTTGGTTAATTATTGGGTTGCGCCCTATTGTGTTGTGTTAGTTTGACAATCGGTTGTGCTTTGGTGTTTGTTTGTCTGGTTGTGTTTATATCTTATATCTCTCATCTCTTTTGTTATTCCAAGGCCCTAATAAAAACTATTTTCCTTATCATACTTTTATTCTAAATCGGGCATGTAAATAATAGGAAGGGGAGAACTTATCCCTAGAAGACTATGGTTCTACGTCACGTCACGTCACGTTCTCTTAAGAACGTGTAACTTACCTCCCAGTTGATGCCCTGAAATATGTTGAACCACAAAGCAACAAACAAATAAACATACAACAAAAGAACCAGCGAACAAACGCATTTATACTTCCATTTGGTGAATAATTATAATGGATTAACATTTAGATGGCAATAAAGTTTAGAATCGAAGAATCCTTATCATAAATCTTGATAACGTGTAAACAACAAATGTAATATAAACAAGAGATAAAATATCCGGATGATTTATGAATTTACGATTGAGATTCCTGACACAACGATCAGTTAGTAATTGAGGTATCATTTGATATAAATCTTTTCAAATGCAAGCTAGGTGTCATGATATAGAAAAACTACATTTGAGTTCTAATTCATATATCGTGGGAACGCTGAAACATTGAGTTTTAGGTATTGTGACATTATAAAAGTTGAGGCTTAGTGTCAACATTTCCTCTTCAATACTCAGGATCTCTGGGTCTAATTTTCTTACAAATGTGTGATTTTTCTTTTTTAGATGTAACAATAGATTTATTGTGAGCAAATACGCTACTAAATAAAGTAAATACGTAGTAAATTCCTTGGGGCATTATAGGAAAGGACATATGAAATACAGTTGGTCAGTAGTATCATTTATGGCTATTAATAGGTAGGACTATTTGGAGGGAGTTATCATTTAGGGTAAGAATTGGCTAGAGACTCGAGTGAATTTAGGGCTATTTGGAGGGGGTTATCATTTAAGGCTATTTGTAGGGGGTTATCGTTTAGGGCTATTTGGAGGGGTTATCATTGAGGGCTATTTGGAGGGATTTAACATTTAGGCCTATTTGGAGGGGGTTATTATTTAGGGCTATTTGGAGGGGGATATCATTTAGGGCTATTTGGAGGGGGATATCATTTAAGGCTATTTGGAGGGGTTATCATTAAGGGCTATTTGGAGGGAGTTAACATTTAGGGCTATTTGGAGAAGGTTATCGTTGAGGGCTATTTTGAGGGGGTTATCATTTAGGGCTATTTGGAGGGGGATATCATTTAAGGCTATTTGGAGGGGTTATCATTAAGGGCTATTTGAAGGGAGTTAACATTTAGGGCTATTTGGAGAAGGTTATCGTTGAGGGCTATTTTGAGGGGGTTATCATTTAGGGCTATTCGGAGGGGGTGGTTATCATTTGGGGCTATTTGGAGGGATTAGACATTTAGGGCTACTTGGAGAAGGTTGTCATTTAGGGCTATTTGGAGGGGGTTGTCATTTAGGGCTATTTTGAGGGGGTTAACATTTAGGGCTATTTGGATATGTGTTATGTTAACATTTAGGGCTATTTGGAGGGGGTTATCATTTGGGGCTGTTTGGAAGGGTTATTTGGAAAGATTTGACAATTAGGGCTATTAGGAGAGGTTTATCATTTCGGGCTTTTGGGAGAGGGTTATCATTTTGGGCTATTATCTAGGCATATTAATGGGGTCTATCATTTAGGGCTATTAATAGGGGAAGGGGTTGTCGTTTAGGGCTGTTCATGGGGTCATTATTTAGGGCTATTAATAGAGGGTTATCATTTAGGGCTATGGAAAGGGGTTGTCGTTTAGGGCTATTAGGAGAATATATCATTTAGGGCTATTAGGAGAAGATATCATTTAAGGCTATTATGAGGGGGTTATCATTTAGGGCTATTGGGAAGGGGTTGTCGTTTAGGGCTGTTTACATGGGGTCATTATTTAGGGATATTAGTAGGGGGTTATCATATAGGGCTATTAGGAGGGGATTACCATTTAGGGCTATTAGGAGGGGGTTATCATTTAGGGCTATTAGGAGGGGGTTATCTTTTTGTAGGGCTATTGGGAAGGGGAGCGGATTGAAAGAGAGAATTCCATCTTTGTCTTAAGTTATCCTTGGACCATGAGAGTAAACCTAAAAGCAAGATCAGTAGAAAATGTCTAGGCCTAAAATTTTCATTCCATCGAGGGCCACATCTCTGAGGCATCACCCTGCCGAAACATTAGTGTTAAACTGTTCAGCTATTTGTTGGAACAATGTAAAACTTTAGGAAGGGGTAAACTCTTTCCCCACCCCTATCCCTGGACCATTTCCTCCCCTAAAGAGATGGAAAGATTGAGATGGTACAAAACTCTTTACTCTTGTCCATGATCTCGTGTAGCAACCAATTAAAACATCAAACTATACAAGGGATCAATCTAAAACATAAGATAGAATTTTGACCTTACTAAATTGTGACGACAATTTGATGTGATTAATGTTTATTTAATAGATAAAAAAGTTGTTGCGTTGCGCTTCAATGAAAAACTACGTAAATACACTGTGATATATCGAATAATACCATATACCACATCAGTACATTGTAAAGCTGACTTGTCCATTTTTGATGTTTGCTTATTATCAATAACATATAGTTTATCACATTCTCAACCCCCCCCCCCTCCCTCCCCGTGATATTTCTTATGCTAATACCGTATGTACACTTTCTGTAACTTACCCAATCCGATTCAGACATGATAAAATCCCTACTTATGCTAGTATTTCCGCACGTGATTGTCACATCTGGATGGAATTCTCCAAGAACACTAAACGTCCATTTAATTCTGCCATCGGATAAACGCGTTATCAACTTATCCGCATCAATTGGGTCATCATCGTCGTCCAAATCGTTATGCCCCACTGGCTTATCTGGACGACGGTGTCCTTTACTACGTGGCTCTGATATGGTGCCACTCCCCGGACCGTCGCCGCTCAATTGTCCCTCAAACGATCGTCCATACGCAGTAACTATTATCCCGAGAGATAAAATCAGTCTTATCCAAACCACCATTTTATCCAAGTGTTTCATCAAATTATCCGATGCACGCTCAGGGAACGCTGAGCTAATGGTTCCTACCTTCCGAGCATATATAGCTAAATAGAATGTCCGATTTTACATCAATGAAATAGTACGTGAAGAAGACCTTATTGTAGACTTGACGCAATTGCTTTTCAATTCAACGTGTAAAGAATTATAGTTGATATAAACACTTCCAGTGTTTGTTTGTATGTCTTCGTGTTGATACTACTCGCTGGACCAAATCATATTCACAAGGGCTGTTTTGCTTTTAACGTTTCTCTATGAATTTGAATGAATTGTTTCAATTTTTTAATTCGCTTCGAAGCTTTATTGTAGTCGACAAGTTTGTTCAAATTTTGTCTTACTCACTATAAATTCTGTCGTATTTTGCCTTTCAAAACAAGACTATTGCGACATTTTATTGACGGGGGTGGCATTTGCATGTGATTATGATCTACATCTTGAGATCTAGCAGACGACTTTGATTCAAGATATCCACATACTTCTGCACGATAAACTTTACTTGTTACCAATTTTTGATTTAGGCAATTAATTTATTAGACTGGTTCTATTTTAATTAACTTTGATTATAAAGACAATAAAGTAAGACTTGGAACGTGCATGGATGAAGTTTTTTTTGTTTTTAATCATTAATTAAAACAATGCTTATTTCTTCAATTGAAGTCAAGATCGGTAATCAATAGTTTCGTACTTTATTATGAATTAATCTTAAATTTTCTTAGAGCCTACAAGTGGACCAATGACGTCATGAATATTTTTGATATTATTTTTGGAGGGACGTACGCCTTTAAGATTGCATTGGACTTGTGTAAGCAAATCAGTGCCAACCATTTAATCAAAACTTACTTTTACATACATACGATCAAAACTAGGATATTAATTATCTAGAAATATTTTCATACACTTTAATGCATTCCTTTGTGAAAATGATCCTGGATCTGGCATATCAAATTGCAAACCTTTCTATTTTCCGTGACGCACCTGAAGTGTACTTGCAACTGATTTTGGAATGTGCTTTATAACAGATATACGATTTCATAATGATGCATGGTAACGAAATGTTTGTAGTACTAGTAATATATTTTGAATAGAGTAGTCTTAATAAAATGCAATGCAATCGGCTGATTTAAACGTGGTTGGTAATTAAAACAGATAAACAGATGTAATTGTTCAAACGTATCGATTCACGCATAGCTAATGAAGAGCTTATTGCATAACCTTGCTTTTTGTATTGATAAAATAGCCAGGGAAAAAACATAATCGTTGAATCATATCAGTAAATATTCTTTTATTGCATCATGAACGTCATCCTGATGCAAGAAATGAATCGAAATCGGTTAAATCAATTCATGTTAATCATTAAATAATTTACCAGGCCTTGAATATATAGAAGAGGGGGCGGACTTAATGATCGAGGTTAAATACTGCACATCGAGAAAATTGTGCACGATTTATTTTGAAGGTATTTTTAGTTGTAGCACATTTTGAGCGCATCACAAGAAAGCGAATTTTGTTAGTGTTTACAGTATTAATGCTCTCATTCATGTCATTATTATTATTAGTTGGTCTATCGACGGTCGCAATTAAATGTAGCTTGTGGGGTTTCTAACATTCGGAGCTTTGACTGCATGTCTGTTATAACTTGTTTATTCCAATATTTTTCCGCTGGTCATGTTTTCAAATGAAAAACAGAGAAAAACAGGGAATCAACAATAAATAATATAAAAGGCATGTAGCTAGTAGTCAACACTCAAAATTGTATAGAAATACAAGACAATCAATTCAAATGTAAAGGAAAATTGAGGCAAAGACATGAAAAAGCGTTTTCCTCCGATTTACTGTATGCTGCTATAAATTACTTATTCATACAATAAATAGAAAAAGCAAAAGTAAATAAACAATCTCATTTGAAGTAATACATTTATATGCCTCAATAAGTTTCTGCATAGAAAATGAGCTACTGGTGAATGAATGAGTGCCTTGCAATGGTTCCACATCCTCAAACCTGTTAGACAGCAGATGAAAATGAAAGTTCATTCTAAGCACTGTATCCAGTACAGTACGCAATCTAGTATTGAAAAAATATTTTTAGGTTGAAGGTTAGCGTAAATATATAAAGAACTTTAAATATATACAGGATGTTCATATCCGGTATTAAGAACGCAAAACAACATCAGAGAGCCATCAATATAATAGGCACGCAAAATATGATAAATTGCAGATTAGTTATTAGTATAATATGACTTTCGAATTGCTAGCCTTCCAGATAAAAGCCTTTAAAATAAAGGCTTATAAAGGAAAATAAGTCAAATAATGAATCTAAGCTTGTATTCGCGAATGCAACCAACGCCTGTCGGAATAGTACCTGCCACTATTCCATTCATAATGAAATGAGTTGGTCATAAAATAGTAAGTTAATCCGGTAGCCGCTAGCCGTTAGTTGCATTCACTAAAATACAAGCTAAGATCCTAGTTTTAGATCTTGTTCATATTTTCAATGATTTATTTGCTTATTTATTTATTTATTACACTTAGACAGCGACACACCAACACAGAGTGCCCTTATAAAAATGTTTATAAATATACAATACCAATACATGTTCATTCTGTGGTATTTTTTTTTTTATAGTATAAACTTTATTGAGGTAAAGTCAATACATTTTCGGCCACCAATCGCCATATTGGCATTATAGGTTGGCCATCACTTACATGTAAAAAATTAAGTATAATATTTAGCTGTTTGAGGACGACTGTGCATCGAAGGGTATCCCAGGGACCAGAGGGGTTTGTGCCAAGTAGATGTGTAAAAAACAAAATAAATATATTATGAGTTCTCCAGGGCTTAGATGAGACCTCTTTGCTATGTCTTGTTGTCATGGAGAAAGTTGCTGACGATGATAAGAAGTTTACTTAATTCTGCTAAGGATAGTGCCTCGTCACCATATAAGAGAAAATTAAGTTTATCATCCATGTTTGTTAGTTGGCTGATCTTATTATAGAAGTTATTGTTGACCTCTTCCATCAGGGCATGCCTATTAATTTGGCATAGAGGACACTTGAAAAATAAATGTTTTAGTGTTTCAGGTTTGCCACAAGAACAATGAGCCGAGTCTATAAATGTAAATTGGTGTGCAAAAAGTCTTGCTTTCAAAAATAAGTCTACACGAGCTCTGTTGAGAGTGATTTCTTGAGACCTTGTTAAATTAATCAGGGACGTTGAACTGATTATTCTCTTGGGCAGAAAGTGTTTATTACTTTCTTTTTTGAACGATGGTAGGGAAAATTTTAAGGCATATTCTAAAAGAGGTTTAGGTAATTTGTTCCACAGTGATATTGCATTAGGAATAGGGGATTTAATAAATTGGGCAGTTGACCTTATAGGAATTTGGTATACTTCTGTATTGCTTGTTCTTCTGGTAGCTGGATTTTTGAATTCTTCAAATATTGAAGATACATAGGAGGGTACCTGGTTTCTGATTACTTTGTACATGAAGTTAAGAATGTGTTGTTCCCTCCTTTGGGGTAGTGTGCACCAGTTTAAGACCCCCATAACTTTACCTGTATCAGAGCCATGGAGACACCCAGAACACAATAATGCAGCCTGATAATGCAACTTGCTAGGGATATTGATCAGTGCTATATTCTGTGGTATCATTAGGATTATGGTGAAACAAACATATTATATAAAAATTGCTTGATGTCTTCAATTTCATTCCCAGTAGCCAACATCATTTGCTCTGAACATTAAAGGACGTGTAATGGTGAAAAACAATTGTTCATCATTGCCTTCAAGGGAACTCTAAATAGAACAATAGGAAAGATCATCAATCTCTGGATTACAAAATTGGCATAATCTTCGCCCCATCTCTTCAAATCTGATTTTAACAAAGAGGGATGTGGGATGTCCTACTTTGAAACTTTCAAGCACTGTTTGAATGGTAAGCGTTTGAATTGTACCTACAGCGTGCAAGACCAGAATATCTTTTCTTTTTAACCGCAGGTTCCAGGGTTCAGATATTTGGTTAATGTTCTTACTTGATAAGTCAATGGTGCGAGGCTACCGTCAGAGGAAAGAAGGAGGTACGGATTCTGGACACCTGCTCAGGGGGATGGGAAAAAACAGCTTACTCTATATTTCTAACTTTGGCAATTTCCACAATTAAAGTTTTTTAATGTGTGTTATGTCTTTCCTTCATTTACCATATTGATTATAATGACAACCCAAATGGAGAAGAGGCAAAAAATGAAAAATCTTAAGTCAAAGGTAAGACAATCATATGCACTGAAAAGTTTTGATCGCAAATTAGTGTCCGAACGTCAACAGATTAAAGGCTGGTGTCCAAATGTCAACACATTAAGGGATGGTGTCAAAATGTCAACACATTAAGAGATGGTGTCCAAATGTCAACACATTAAGAGATGGTGTCCAAATGTCAACACATTAAGGGATTGTGTCTAAATGTCAACACATTAAGGGATGGTGTCCAAATGTCAACACATTAAGGGATGGTGTCCAAATGTCAACACATTAAGGGATGGTGTCCAAATGTCAACACATTAAGGGATGATGTCCAAATGTTAACGCATTAAGGGATGGTGTCCAAATGTTAACGCATTAAGGGATGGTGTCCAAATGTCAACACATTAAGGGATGATGTCCAAATGTCAACAGATTAAGGGATGGTGTCAAAATGTCAACACATTAAGGGATTGTGTCCAAATGTCAACACATTAAGGAATTGTGTCCAAATGTCAACACATTAAGGGATGGTGTCAAAATGCCAACACATTAAGGGATGGTGTCCAAATGTCAACACATTAAGGGATGATGTCCAAATGTCAACACATTAAGGGATGATGTCCAAATGTCAACACATGAAGAGATGGTGTCCAAATGTCAACACATTAAGGGATGATGTCCAAATGTCAACACATTAAGGGATGATGTCCAAATGTTAACATATTAAGGGATGGTGTCTAAATGTTAACGCATCAAGGGATGGTGTCCAAATGTCAACACATTTAGGGATGGTGTCCAAATGTCAACATATTAAGGGATGGTGTCAAAATGTCAACACTTTAAGGAATTGTGTCCAAATGTCAACACATTAAGGGATGGTGTCCAAATGTTAACGCATTAAGGGATGGTGTCCAAATGTCAACACATTAAGGGATTGTGTCCAAAGGTCAACACATTAAGGGATGGTGTCCAAATGTTAACGCATTAATGGATGATGTCCAAATGTTAACGCATTAAGGGGTGGTGTCAAAATGTCAACACATTAGGGATGGTGTCCAAATGTCAACACATTAAGGGATGATGTCCAAATGTCAACACATTAAGGGATGATGTCCAAATGTCAACACATTAAGGGATGGTGTCCAAATGTCAACACATTAAGGGATGGTGTCCAAATGTCAACACATTAAGGGATGATGTCCAAATGTCAACACATTAAGGGATGGTGTCCAAATGTCAACACATTAAGGGATGGTGTCCAAATGTCAACACATTAGGGATGGTGTCCAAATGTCAACACATTAAGATATGATGTCCAAATGTCAACACATTAAGGGATGATGTCCAAATGTTAACATATTAAGGGATGGTGTCCAAATGTTAACGCATTGAGGGATGGTGTCCAAATGTTAACATATTAAGGTATGATGTCCAAATGCCAACACATTAAGTGATGATGTCCAAATGCCAACACATTAAGGGATGGTGTCCAAATGTTAACATATTAAGGGATGGTGTCCAAATGTCAACACATTAAGGGATGATGTCCAAATGTCAACACATTAAGGGATGGTGTCCAAATGTTAACACATTAAGGGATGATGTCCAAATGTCAACACATTAAGGGATGGTGTCCAAATGTCAACACATTAAGGGATGGTGTCCAAATGTCAACACATTAGGGATGGTGTCCAAATGTCAACACATTAAGGGATGGTGTCTAAATGTTAACGCATTAAGGGATGGTGTCCAAATGTCAACACATTAAGAGATGGTGTCCAAATATCAACACATTAAGGGATGGTATCCAAATGTCAACACATTAAGGGATGATGTCCAAATGTTAACATATTAAGGGATGGTGTCTAAATGTTAACGCATCAAGGGATGGTGTCTAAATGTCAACACATTTAGGGATGGTGTCCAAATGTCAACATATTAAGGGATGGTGTCAAAATGTCAACACATTAAGGGATGGTGTCCAAATGTCAACACATTAAGGGATGGTGTCCAAATGTTAACGCATTAAGGGATGGTGTCCAAATGTCAACACATTAAGGGGTGGTGTCCAAATGTTAACGCATTAAGGGATGGTGTCCAAATGTCAACACATTAAGGGGTGGTATCCAAATGTTAACGCATTAAGGGATGGTGTCCAAATGTCAACACATTAAGAGATGGTGTCCAAATGTCAACACATTAAGGGATGGTGTCCAAATGTCAACACATTAAGGGATGGTGTCCAAATGTTAACGCATTAAGGGATGGTGTCCAAATGTTAACATATTAAGGGATGGTGTCCAAATGTTAACGCATCAAGGGATGGTGTCCAAATGTTAACATATTAAGGGATGGTGTCCAAATGTTAACGCATCAAGGGATGGTGTCCACATTTCAACACATTAAGGAATTGTGTCCAAAGGTCAACACATTAAGGGATTGTGTCCAAATGTCAACACATTAAGGGATGGTGTCCAAATGTCAACACATTAAGGGATGTTGTCCAAATGCCAACACATTAAGGGATGATGTCCAAATGTCAACATATTAAGGGATGGTGTCCAAATGTCAACACATTAAAGTCTGGTGTCCAAATGTCAACACATTAAGGGATGGTGTCCAAATGTCAACACATTAAGGGATGGTGTCCAAATGTCAACACATTAAGGGATGTTGTCCAAATGCCAACACATTAAGGGATGATGTCCAAATGTCAACATATTAAGGGATGGTGTCCAAATGTCAACACATTAAAGTCTGGTGTCCAAATGTCAACACATTAAGGGATGGTGTCCAAATGCCAACAGATTAAGGGATGATGTCCAAATGTCAACACATTAAGGGATGGTGTCCAAATGCCAACACATTAAGGGATGATGTCCAAATGTCAACACATTAAGGGATGGTGTCCAAATGTCAACATATTAAGGGGTGGTGTCCGAATGTCAACACATTAAGGGATGATGTCCAAATGTTAACGCATTAAGGGATGGTGTCAAAATGTCAACACATTAAGAGATGGTGTCCAAATGTCGACAAATTAAGGGATAGTATCCAAATGTCAACACATTAAGGGATGGTGTCCAAATGTTAACGCATTAAGGGATGGTGTCCAAATGTCAACACATTAAGGGGTGGTGTCCAAATGTCAACACATTAAAGTCTGGTGTCCAAATGTCAACACATTAAGGGATGGTGTCCAAATGCCAACACATTAAGGGATGATGTCCAAATGTCAACTAATTAAGGGATGGTGTCCAAATGTTAACATATTAAGGGATGGTGTCCAAATGTTAACGCATCAAGGGATGGTGTCCAAATGTTAACATATTAAGGGATGGTGTCCAAATGTTAACGCATCAAGGGATGGTGTCCACATTTCAACACATTAAGGAATTGTGTCCAAAGGTCAACACATTAAGGGATTGTGTCCAAAGGTCAACACATTAAGGGATGGTGTCCAAATGTTAACGCATTAAGGGATGATGTCCAAATGTCAACACATTAAAAGATGGTGTCCAAATGCCAACACATTAAGGGATGATGTCCAAATGTCAACATATTAAGGGATGGTGTCCAAATGTCAACACATTAAAGTCTGGTGTCCAAATGTCAGCACATTAAGGGATGGTGTCCAAATGCCAACACATTAAGGGATGATGTCCAAATGTCAACATATTAAGGGATGGTGTCCAAATGTCAACACATTAAAGTCTGGTGTCCAAATGTCAACACATTAAGGGATGGTGTCCAAATGCCAACACATTAAGGGATGATGTCCAAATGTCAACACATTAAGGGATGGTGTCCAAATGTCAACATATTAAGGGGTGGTGTCCAAATGTCAACACATTAAGGGATGATGTCCAAATGTCAACACATTAAGGGATGGTGTCCAAATGTCAACATATTAAGGGATGGTGTCCAAATGTCAACATATTAAGGGATGGTGTCCAAATGTTAACGCATTAAGGGATGGTGTCAAAATGTCAACACATTAAGAGATGGTGTCCAAATGTCGACACATTAAGGGATAGTATCCAAATGTCAACACATTAAGGGATGATGTCCAAATGTCAACACATTAAGGGATGGTGTCCAAATGTCAACGTATTAAGGGATGGTGTCCAAATGTCGACACATTAAGGGATGGTGTCCAAATGTTAACGCATTAAGGGATGGTGTCCAAATGTCAACATATTAAGGGATGATGTTCAAATGTCAACACATTAAGGGATGATGTCCAAATGTCAACACATTAAGGGATGGTGTCCAAATGTCAACATATTAAGGGATGATGTCCAAATGTTAACGCATTAAGGGATGGTG